AGCAGAGACCAAGCCCTTGTGCCCCATTAGGCTTTTCCTGGCTGTTGAAGGCTAAAGAATCTCGTCTCCAAACTCTTAGGGGCAGTTAACGGTGTTTGTTGCTCAGGACGTGCCATTTTATGTTGTCTCCTATGTTCTTTTTTACAAGTACACCACACACATCTATCTTGCCCACTTTGTGCTTCTCTAAAAAAGTTCTTTTTTTTTTTTAAAGATTTTATTTATTTATTCACGAGACACACACAAACACCACACACACACAAACACCACACACACACACACACAGAGAGAGAGAGAGAGAGAGAGAGAGAGAGAGAGGCAGAGACACAGGCAGAGGGAGAAGCAGGTTTCCTGCGGGGAGCCCGACGTGGGACTCAACTTGAGCCTCATGACCCAAGCCAAAGGCTGACACTCAACCCCTGAGCCATCCAGGCCATCCCCAGAAATTGAATCTTATTACGGGGTGACCCAACTCAGATGCTTCCATTTCACATTAGCCAAATTGACAAGAGGCCAGGAAACCAAAGAGTTTATTTGCGACAGGAGACCGTTTTCCAAGGCTACGCTTGTTTGCTGTCCGAGGCAGGCCCTCCTCAAGAGGAAATACCTGGCGCACATACCACAAAGACAAAGGGTGCAGCTCTTGGGTATAATACATTTCCAGACTGTGATGGAACAGGGTCCCTGATTCATCATAGGACAGTCACCGTGGCTGAGACCCAAGGCCACCCCACCGGACATCTTGCACACGGGCTGTAGCAGGGATTCCATGTGCCTTGCCTGACTCACAGCACAGTCACTCGACATGTGCTTGCTAAACGTATGAACTCCTTGGGCAGGGTGGGTCTACCGCCGTCAATCCTCATCCCCTTTCTCTCCCTCTCTAGGTTCTAGGCAGACCGGCACCTTTCTTCCTCAGGCAGGATACTATTCATAAGCCAACAGCTTTTTATGTCGGTTGTGTTTTACTCTCCTGGACGGAGACATTGTAAGGAATTGTAGGAAGCACCGCATTCCCATCCATACTGTCTTTGCACATCTTCCAGGACCCGCTTCCCTGCTTCCCACCTGTAGGTCCCCGACACCCCTGCATGCTACGAATGTTAACACCGTCGGTTGTTTCCCCGTGTGCCCCGCGGTACCCCCTCCGCTGTCGGAGGCACAGGGCAGCTCTACCCCCCGGATAGGGCAGGAGGGCCCACCTTCCTCGGGGGAAAGGTGATTATCCCTTCAATCGGTTTGTTGGGTTTTTGGTTTTCTCCCTACGTGATATTGAGTGTCGCCCCAAACAACTTCAGTTTGCAGCTCCTCAGACAACTAAGGGAGCCAGGTGGCCAGGTCTGCAGGGTCCCCCCGGACTTGGCAAGATTCCCCTCCAAAGACAAATCCACCTCCTCGGAGTGGGTCATAGGCAAAGTCGCTGGGCCAGACAAGAAGCAGGGGGAGCCCAGCCACCCCAATCTCTGAAGCTCCGGGGAACACTTGCCTCGGACTGGCCTGCCTGCTTGGTGGGTCCTGGAGGGTCCTGGTGGGCCCTGGTGGGTCCTGGCAGGTCCTGGTGGGTCCTGGGGGGCTCTGATGGCAGCCAGGACTGAAGCAGCCACTTTGTTGCCTAACCTGGCTCCAGCTCCTAGCCCTCGGGGAAGATATCTGCTCTCTTGCCTTCCACAAAAAGTTTGAAGGAATCGATAGGGGAAGGATTCAGAATTTCAATCAAGCATTCTTTAGCTCTTGCCCACCCCTCGGGAATCCCAAGGCTTATCTCCCTTAACTGGTGACTCGGCTGCAGAAGTGCTCCCCACCGGGTCCCCCCAGTCACTGGATTCCCCTCCAACAAATGGCTCACGCTGGACCCATATTTCCTTGAGGGGCTTCGGGGTGGCGGGAATGGCACGGCTTCCTTGGAGAGCCTTGGGAGATCTTGTTTCGATTCCCCAAAGGGGTTTCACAAGGGCACTGCTGGCATTCGAGTCTTCTCTGTCTTCCCCTGAAACATTTCCACAAGTTGTAACCTGGCGTGCATGTTCTTAGAGCCAGAAATATGACAAATATTCAGATAAGCCAATGGAATTTAAAGCACAGGTCCGTTGCTCTGCTGGCAAGGGCTTGGGGAATGCTTTGTAGTCAGGTGTGACTCTCCAACTTGTGCACAGCTCCAATCCTGCACCTGGCTCCCCACCAAGCGCCCAAGAGGTGCTGGCTCACCATTTGGGGAATGAAGTCTTGAGTCCTATTTTCACTCCTACAGGCATTGAATGGCAAGCTCTTAATGTAAAGGACTTTTGATACCTTTACATTCTTGTTTGTTTTCACGTGTAAGGAGCTTAAAGGGACATTCACCTCTAATTTCAAGGTCGACCATTAGTGTTTATGGGGCTCTGTAATGTCCTGAAAAGCGCTTGGGGTTTGGAGGGAGACCCATTTCTGAATCCCAGCACTGGCATATTCTGGGGATAAGGATGTGTAATTTAAGGAGTTGTAAGGATTGAAGGAGGGAACTGTGACACTCCGAGCACACGGTGGGGGTGGACGTGGCGGGGAGGTGGTGTCCTCCCTACTTGGCCAGACGCTCACTGTCACGCCAACTGTCACACCAGCGTCTGGGCTCTTGACAACCCTCTGGTATGGAGCGGCTACACCAGCAGGGACCACTCACTTCGGAGGCCGGAGAAAGAGAGAAGGGACCGCATACCTCTGCCTTCTTCTCCGAGTCCCGACTTAGCCTTGGCACGCTCGGATACTTCTTAAAAAGTCGCTTTTCTCCGTAAAACTCTATTTTGGATCTCATTTGCCACGGTAACGGGAGCACCTCCCTCCCAAAGACTCTAACGGACCCGGTGTTTACTAAATGCTTGGTCGATGCCTTAAGCGCCACAAAAACTCTTAGCAACTCGCAAGATCTCCCTAAGTCACTGCCAGGAGTCTCTGGGAAATCACAGGGAAATTTGTTTGCCGCATGATTAATCCTGGGTGGACCAGTCCCGGAAAATCACATGTGGGCTTGCGGCAAGCAGCAGCCTGCAGGATTTCACAAAATAAACGGACTAGCGGAGGGGCCCCGGCCTGGGTGTTTTGGATGGAAGCTCAGAGCCGGGGCGGGCCCGACAACCGAGGACAAGGCCAGAAGTGCGGACCACGGAGCTCCTTTGAATCCACTCAGCTCCAAAGAGACAGCACATGGGACCAGATTACAAAACGGAACCAGATTATGCACTAGATGGGGGCGACCCAGTGGGGAGTAGGACCCTGGGAGAAGGATAATAAAATTCATCACCATAATTACCCCCAGCCCGGCGGCGCCGGGAGAGCCACAATAGCTCAGCTCAATGAACTTATTCATCCATATTCCCTTGGCCTCGGTCATTATTCTCAGACAAAACCCATCCTGGGCCTCAGGGCTTGCCGGCAGCCCAGCAACTCAGCATCCCCACACAGCCAGCCCCCAGCCTGGGGAGGAGGTGGGGCGGGGGCGGGGCGTCTGTCCTTAGCCCCGGGCAGTTTCTAGCTCCAACAGCGGCCGGTGATTCTTTTTTGTTTTCCAGACCAGGTTCGGAGATGCCTAGGTCAAGTCCAGCCCTTCCGCTACCTGCTCCCCACCTCTGACTTTCAAAAACTGGCTTAAAGCTGATCCCAGCCAACCCTTTCCTAGGAGGAAACGGAGGATGTTGCCCAGCTGCTGCTTTTCCTGAGCTGAGCTGGGATGTGGCTTGCTTTGGGGGTCTCCCACCCCTTGCCCCGGGGAGCACAGGACGGTGTCATCCGCACACGGTCTCGCCAAAAGGGAAATGTAACCGAAGAGCAGAGCCGTGTGCGCCGGTGGAAAGAGAAGTTCCAAAGATAGGCCTGCCACGAATAGCCCAGGGGCCTGTAAAGATAGTTGCTCAAGTCCCTTTGAGGCAGACAGCCTGGCAGAGAGTAGTGCAGCCCGTATAATTTCCCCAGGCCACGGAATTATAGGTGCCCGGGTCAGGTCTATCCCTCCGCAAAGCACTCCCTCCAAAGGAGGATTTTTCTGGTACTAGACCCACCTCTGTTCTCAATCTGGAAAATACAGTTTACCTTTCAGCAACCCCCAACTCTAAAGATCACTGGTTCGCTTACGGTTCCTTCAACCAATATTTAGTGAGCAAATACTACGTGCCAGATATTGCTTTGGCCCTGGGGATCGGGGCCGAGACAGCACTCTGCTCTGGAGGGCTTATATTCTATTGGGGGAAAACAGATTAAAGTGAAAGCCCAAGAAAAATCAAATGTCGACACCTGTGCACGGATGCCACCAGCACAGCACACCGGGCAGAAAAGAGCCAGATGGGAAGAGGATGTGAGAGTTGGGGCGGGGATGGGGTGGGGGGCAAGGGAGCTCCCACCGTCACACCTAACACAGGTCAGGTCCAAGGAGACCCCAACACTCCTTCGGTCATTGACGTTGGCCAAGTCCAACACATGGCCCCAAACCAACTTAAACCCACAAGGTTCACAGCACTCACCCGCCGCCTCCCACACGTCCATCCTTCCACACGCACCATCCTCTCCCCGGAGCCTAGCAGACCCCAGTGATGGGGCCTGGGGGCGTCCAGCGGGGTGGTGCATGGGATGTAAGACCTGGCAGGCCTGAGGGAGCCCACCGGGAGCCGCCTCCCCCCCAGCACTGCTGAGTGTCCCCCCATATAGAGGGTCAGCCTCTTCTGGGGCCCTGCGCACCCCTCCCATGCAGCCCCTTGGGGAGCCCAGCCACGCCAGCACAGGGCTCCCGGCTCCCATCCTCTACCCCGAGTCAGGGCTGAGCAGCAGGTTGCAGGAGGTGGGCCTGCCCGGAGGGATGCCCCTGGGCCCCACCTGCTGCCAGCACCGGCTCAGCCCCCAGCTCTCCTTCTCGGGGCCCCTGGGCCCGCGGGCACGCACAGCCAGCTCCCCTCCGCTCCGCCGGGCAACCTTGAGTTCGGGGCCCAGGCTTTGGGCGAGTCCCAGCGCCCCGTCCCCACGGCAGGGCCCGGGCTTACCTCCTGCTGCCGGCACCCGGAGCCCCGCGCCGACCAAAACCAAGAGCAGGACCGGCACCCTCCACATCTTGTCGGCTGCCCGGTCCCCTGGGGGCCAGCAGTTGTCTGGGCGCTGGGGGGGCTCCAAGCTCTGCGGCCAGGGCCCGGCCCCGGGAGCCAGGGAAGAGGGGCTGGAAGGCCGCGGGGAGCAGGAGCCCCGGCGCCCAGGGTCCCCAAGCTTCCTCCTCCCGCAGCCGCCACCGCCGAGCTGACTTTGCTGCTGGAAACTTTGCAAGGAGCGAGGGGCGAGGAGCCGCCTTTATCCCGGGAGGGCGGAGCGGCCCTAGGGGTCCCGGGCTCGCTGGGCCCGCCCTCCGCCGCCGTTGGCCGCGCCAAACCCCGACCTCAGGCCAGGTTTAAAGTTACAGGGCGCCGGAGCCGGAGCCCCCAGGGGAAGGGGGCACGCAGGAAGCAATTCAGTTTTGTAGAATATCTTACTTTGCTAGTTTGATTAAAAAAAAAAAAAAAAGACTAAGGCACAAGCCTGTGTTGTTGGGGTTTTTTGGTTGTTTGGATTTTTGTTGTTGTTAGAAGTAAACTCTTCCTTGCACGGCCAGCAATTTTAGGACCAAGCATGGGATTGTTCTTGTAAATATTGAATCCGATGGCTTAAAAAAAAAAAAAAAAGTGGCCGCCTTGTCTGGGTGGGCCCGGGGCGGATGGGGCCGGTAAACTGTTCCCTTGTCCAGGGACCAGGGGAGGCGGGCTCCGGCGGCGCCCGGGAGAGCCGGTGGGGAGTTTGGAGGACTCGCTGGCTCCGGCAGTGATAGAAAAAGGGCTGTTTGAGGTCCGCTGGTCTTCCCCGTGGATTCGGGGCTCGCAGCGGGTGAGGACCCACCTGGCCACCGTGGCCCCTTCCAGCCCGCCCCCATCCCTGTTCTCCTGGAACTCGGCCAGGCCCGTAATCCCCGCTTTACTGGTTTCAGCAATCCTGCCCTGATCTCGGGTACTGCGTGTCAGCAACAAGGCAAACCTGTGGGTTTCTTTTTAACTTTCCTTTTGAACTGTTGGAATTCTTTTAAAAAAGAAAATTTTTTAAGACGAGGGGATGGGGACACGGCCTCCACCCGTTCCCAGGTGCCACAAATTCCACTCAACAAAAAGAAGCTGCAGACAACGCCCCAAAGCTCCTGACCTGCGTGAACACTGGCTATTTTCAGATCCTCATCTCAGACCCTGATTCCAAATTTATTCTGTCGTAGGAATCACAAGGGGGAAGTTGCTTTAAAAGCTCAGATTCCTGGGCTCCACACCCAACTCCTTAAATCAGGCCCTTTGGGAATCCACGTGTTGAGCCGGCGTTGCAGGAGAACTTGTCCACAGGTTAATAAACCACCCGCGTGTGAAACACTGCGGTGTGGTCCGTGCAGGTGGGCTTCTGTGGGTCGGGCGTGGGGAGATTCCGTATTTCTAAAGATCTAGACACCGTCTTATTCTGGGGCTACCTACAAGATAGGAGCTGATATCTGACCTAAAGACGGGAAAGGGACCCAGGGGTCAAAGGGCTGAAAATGTAAAGATAAAAACAGATGGAGAAGATAATGGGACCGCCTCCCCCATCTTGTTAAGAGCTTAGTATCACTGCATCTTCAGGCATGTTCCTTCCCACGCTGAATGATCCATTAGCATCTGCCCAGCCTATGAGATGGAGAAAAGATGCACATCTCCTCTAAAGTAAAAGAAAAAAAGAAAAGAAGAAGAAAGATTGAATAAAAGAAAGAAAAAGATCATCTTCCCTTGGCAACGGGGAGGAAATGAAGCCTGGGTGGGAGAGAATGGGTTCAAATCAGCTCATTGGGAGGGCTGCTTGGGGCTAGGAGGGAGGAGAGAGAGATGACGCTGGTCTTGGGCTTAAGGGGTAGGAGCTGGGGTGCACCCGGGTGACCCAAGGTTAGGCCAAAGAAGGTGCAGTGAGATGTAATGGAATTTGGAAGCCTGAGACCGGCCCAGATGACAGGAGGAAGGAAACAAGTAGAGTACGTGCCAGGAGATCCCTCCATTCTTTGAAATAATTTGGGCTCCAAAAACAGTGCCTGGTAAGGTAACCGTGACTGTTACCCTGTTCCCCAGGAACTCTAGTACTATCTCATTTAATCTTCAAAATACTCCCTGGGGTAAGAACACTGATAGTACCTATTTTATATATAAGGGAACGGGTTTCCAGAGTGGTTTCCAGAGCCGGCGATGTGTGGAGGACAGGCTGGTTAGAATGAAGACCCTGAGGGGCTCCTGGCTGGTTCTTTCGGTGGAGCGTGAGGCTCTTGATCTCAGGGTCCTGAGTTTGAGCCCCTCAGTGGGCATAGACCTTCTTTAATTTTTTTTTTTTAATTAAGACACCGATCTAGGCCCCATCCCTGAGTTTCTGATTGTAGGTCAAGAGAAGGGCCCAATAATTTGCATGGCTAACAAGTTCCCAGGTGACACTGCTGGCCCTGGGGCCCCACTTGGAGAACCACTGGTTTAGATGCGCCGCACACAGTCTAGGGTCCTCTGAAGGGAGTGGCAGGAGCATTGTCCCTCTAGTGCACAAGTTGAGCCTGTTGATAGCGCTGGGTCTTGTTTAAGGATCTAGAGGGAGAGGTCTGCAAGTTGCTTTGAGGGAGCAGGAGTCCCCCGAGGGTCAGGCTGCAGGAGGAGAAGCTGCAGAGCCTCAGCACCCGACACGACACCCTCCGGCCTGAGGGATGCTGAAGAGCCGAGACCCGGATCTCTCATCCTCCCTGCCTGCTCTGTGGCCTCTGCGCAGCCCGAGAGCTTCCCCACGCTGCCCGGGAAGACTTCTCGAGCAGCTTCTCTTGCTTCTCAACACACACAGCTCCAGAGCTGAGATGCCACCCCAGACGGTATCGATATCCAAGGCACCCCTGTACCCCTGTGCACGATTTCGTGTGTTTGGGTGCACAGGCTGGGTTCGAAACGCATTTAGCAGGAATGAGATGAGGCTGGGGGCGGGGAGTGCGATGGGACTGCGGGAACCCACAGCAGCCTGGCTTGCTGGAAGGAGCCTCGGGGTTTTAGGATCCAAATTCAGTTCCACGGTGGCCTCGGGCACGTTTCTGGTTCCTTAAAATGGGGATGTCATCCCTGCCTCGGAGGCCTCTGTGCGCAGCCGGCAGTGTAACTGCCCTGATGGCTCTGATGGTTGTTTCTGCCAGGCCTTGCCCAGCACACCTGTGCCCACCTGTGCCCGCCTGCGCCCACCTGCACGCTCAGCCAGCCATTCCATCAGAAGTTCTTGACGCGGGCCCAATGGAACTGGTTCCTTTCCACCTTAGCACACCCAGCTGGGCCAGTACCCGAGGACCTGTTAGGTGCCCCCCTCACGTTGGGCCTTATTCCTAAAAGCCGTCCTGGATCCCTGTCCCGCTCCCGGGGCCCTCGGACCCCGCTGAGTAGCCAGGTCACCTCCCAGGTCCCCTCAGGAACTGGCGTCTGCACCAGGCCCCTCCCTGGAACCTGGGTCCTGCCATTCCACCAACGATGGGGAGCTGGCTCGGGCTTGTCTCTCTGCTCTCCCAAGGACGCCCCCCCCCCCCCGCCCGGGGCCGACCATCCGTCTTGTTGTCAGAATCAAACTTGTGCCCTATATTTCAATGGGGTGCACACAGTTGTGCTTGCGGGCCCCCCGGGAAGAAGTCTGAGGAACTGGGTACCAGTCATTGTTAGTCACAGAGTGAAGTAAGTGTACGCTCAGCGAAGGTAGGACTTAGTAAACACTTCATAAAGAGAAATAAAGGGGAGACTGACTATAATCGGAAAAAGCACTTCATGATACGATTGGGTAACATTGAGGAAGTGCTGACCATGAAAAAATATATATAAAAATGTTATCTATGTGGGCACCTGCGGGGCTCGGTCGGTGAAGCATCTGCCTTCTGCTCAGGTCATGATCCCGGTGTCCTGGGATCAAGCCCCACGTCGGGCTCCCTGCTCAGCGGAGACTCTGCTTCCTCCCCTCCCTCTGCCTGCTGCTCCCCCTGCTTGTGCTCTTTCTCTCTGTCAAATAAACAAATACAATTTTTAAAAAATTATCTATGAATTTCAATCTATACATTTTGACATTTTCCTTGATAGAAGATCTGGTAAACCTTCCAGTTACACTTAAAAAGAGTCAGCATCACTCACAGACATTTTTTAAACTTATCCTTATTATTTATTTATCTAAAAAAAATGTTTAATGTAAACTCTACACTCAACGTGGGGCTTGAACTCGTGACCCAGATCAAGAGTCTCAGGCTTTACCAAGTGAGCCAGCCAGGCACCCCTATTCTTTTTCTTTTTTTAATGGTGTGCCTTTATCAATTTTTTGTTATACATTTATTGAAGAAAACGTGGGAAACGGGAAAATAGGAAATTTATCAGATGTCCAGATTTCCTTGTGTGTGTGTTTACCATTTTTTCTTTCGACATTCACGTCACATTTGCCTAGATTCACCACTTCGTTTATATTTTGCCCTATTTGCTTCCCTGTTATCTCTGTATCTAAAACACTCGGGTGTTGGTTTTGATCTGAATCACCTGAGAGTAAAGGGGATCATCCCCTCTAGCCTGAATACATGGGGGTGAGTTCCCTAAAGACAGGGACCTTGTCTTGCTGCAGTAGGATTAGCCACGTCACAGAATTTAACACAAGTGCAATACTATTATCTAATCTACAGCCCATATTCCAATTTTGACAGCTGTCCGAATTGTCTGCTTTACAGATCCCCCCCCCCAGAATCAAATCCAAGGCCACACACATTCATTGCATTGGCTGTCCTGCCTCCAGAAGATGTGGGAACACTGCCTTTCTGCGTCTTTCTCGAGCTTGACGCTTTTTGAAGACAACAGGCCAGTTATTTTGTAGAACACCCTTCGGTCTGGGTTTACCCGATCTTCCCTGGTGATTAGGTTCAGGTATACACGTTTGGATGGAGGACTGCGGAGGTGACCTGTGCTTCTTCAGTGCATCCCGGAGGAGGCCCAGAAGGACAGTTCCCAGCGCAGGCGAGCGTTGACTTTGATCCCCGCTGTGAGGCCTTCTGATCCAGAATTTATTTTTTATTTTATTTATTTATTTATTTTTAATCATCGAAGGCGACCACATTTATTTATTTATTTATTTATTTATTTATTTATTTATTTATTTATTTTAATAGTAAATTTAGGGATCCCTGGGTGGCACAGCGGTTTGGCGCCTGCCTTTGGCCCAGAGCCCGATCCTGGAGACCCGGGATCGAATCCCACATCAGGCTCCTGGTGCATGGAGCCTGCTTCTCCC